ATTGCCAGACTTTGTCCATTTCATATATATATATATATATATATATATATATAAGTAATTGATCGAGTTTAGAAGAACTCATCAACAGTGCACATCCACTACCGAGAATTGAAACCTTGAAGCTTTAAAAATTGAAACTTCTAATGCTCAGGATGGAGCGGCTTGGGGATAGTAGTCGTGGCTCGTGAGGTGGCACAGTCCTATGGGTAAGGGAAACTTGGATGAGTTCCACCATGGAATATGTGATCAAGTGGTGCTATATCAAGTCTGATTCGTTACCTCTTCGTCACCGAGGCCCGTTGGAAAATATTGAATGAAAGAAGAGAAGATAAGTTTTTAACATCTCCTGCCAATACCCCATAAATAATGGACTCTTCCATTTTCATCCCACAGAGTAGAAAAAGACACTACGCGGTTTCAGTGAGAAAATGAAAGAAGGGAAAATAGCAGTGTTTAACGGCTTTTTCAGTGAAATGGAAAAAGTTGTCATTTTCAAATCCTTTCATTTGTACCCACTTCTTAAAATAATGAACAGCATTCATATTTATGGTTTTCTAAGCATAGCTTTAGATCTGCCACAAGGTTGAAAGAACTGGGCACCCAGTGAGGATCAAACTCACTACTCGGTTATAATTGTTCTACTGAGACAGACTTGTTAACCATTACACCATCCTGAGGTGTACCAGCATTCAGATTGTTATTGCAATATTTTGTTCAAGTTGTGAAGCTCAAATATTTTACCATGCTATAGGGGAAATTTTATGGATATTTTGTCATAAAATTTACCATGGGCATACTCATTAACCTAAGCTTAGTCAGAAAATAGGAAAAACTGTGAATTATTATTATTGCTATGAACACATTGCATAACAATATTCGCGTTTGAAAGAGATTTATTTTTCAATCTGCCTATCATTTCTTTCAAAAGAAATAAAAACATCAGACCAATTTTAACAAATGTAAGCGTCCACACTCAAAACAACATTGGAGTTTTGGATCATTGTACTCTTGAAAATACTCATAGAAGAGGAAAACTGTGTTCATTGTGTAACAACATGAGTAAAGTTAATTCTATCACAAATTCAAAGAGAAACATGACAATTTCTACAATTGTACTGATTCCCATTTAATATACGCCACCCAATGTACCAAACATGACTTGATTTATGTGGTTTGCACAATGGAAAAGATTCAATGAACACAGGTATGATGTCAGATACAACAATGTGACATCAACAGAGCTTGCAGAACTTTTTATTACAAACGATTGTAATTTTGACAAGCATCTTAAGGTGCTTATTCTGAAAAAATATTCAGAATTTACCAACCTTTCAATCCTTAAAATGCATGAAGATGGTTACAAATTACTAACTTCCTGTCCTGGAGGAATAAAATGAATGACAGGAGAGTTCCATAAGATATATACTAAGCTTTTTGATTAATTCCTCTTAGTAACTAATCAACTAACAGAAAATTCCACTATTAGCAAGATTACCATCATATTAAGCCCGTTTCAGTTGCATGCCTTTGTGCAGGCGGCGTTTCATTTGTTTTGACACATTCATTACCAGGACAGATGTTTTTTTTTATTCTTTATTATTACAAGACAAGTAATGTTTGTATAAAGACTTATAATTTTTTTTGTTGAATTATATATTTTTATACTTGAAAAAAACTTTTTTAAATATCTGTTTTAACCTTTCTCAAACATTGTTTTTCTTTTCTTTTTTCCTTTTCTCTCTTATCTCTTCTCTCCCTCTCTCATCTCTCTCATCTCTCCCTCTCATCTCTCTCATCTCTCCCTCCTCTCCCTCTCATCTCTCCCTCTCATCTCTCTCATCTCTCCCTCTCATCTCTCTCATCTCTCCCTCTCATCTCTCTCTTCTCTCCCTCTCATCTCTCTCTTCTCTCCCTCTCATCTCTCTCTCTTTTCCTTCTCTCTCTCTCTTTTCCTTCTCTCTCTCTCTTTTCCTTCCCTCTCTCTCTTCCTTCCCTCTCTCTCTTCCTTCCCTCTCTCCCTCCTCTTCTCTCCCTCCTCTCCCTCTCTTCCTTCTCTTCTCTCCCTTCCTTCTCTTCTCTCCCTTCCTTCTCTTCTCTCCCTTCCTTCTCTCATTATTTATATTATAAATAATTTTCTTTTTTTTATTGTTAAAATACTTAAAATGAAAATGCTGAGAAAGTTCTCAGACTAATCCACTATCTGACAAAACCTGAGGTTTTCTTGGGGGTGGGGGGATTGCTTTTTGGCATACCCAAGAACTTTTCATTATCCTTTTCATGAATTTCTTTTCTGTTTTCTTCATGGTTTGCCAATCTTCTTCCATTTTAAAGAAAAGAAAGAAAAAAAAAAAAGTCTCTCTGTTGGTTCTATACTTTTCTGAGTAAGTATTGTAAGCGGTTGTGATAGCAAGGATTGTTGACAGGTGCCTTACAAGGCAGCGAAATGTAAGTCCAGTGTGTGTGACTCGTGTCAGTGAAAAAGACTGGTCAAACCAGAGCTAGAAGTCATATTAATCTAACAGAGGGTGAATCGGGGATGGATGGTAAATAATTTCTTTTGTTTGAATGAAGAGAAAAACAATGCCAGCAATATGAATGACCTGACTATTTTCATTTCTAGGTTTCCCATTGATCATTTCAAAACACTTGACTTTCCTGAGATCAAGATTATTTTTTTCTATCATGCAACTTTTGAAGGTCTAATTTTGAAGCTAATTTTAAGGGAGTCACATCATACATCAGATATAAAATTAGCCTATGTTCTGCCGGCCCTGACGACGCCATTGACCAAACTATATATCCATTTACTGTAGTCAAAAAGTACAGCTGTATTTAAAATAAACATGATTTTGGTAAAACCGATGTTTCACTTAATGGTATCCAATAATAAATGCATGTAATATTCACATATTAGTAATATTGTATTATAAAATACAAACATAGTGAATATGCATCTTTTCCGTTGTTTACGTTTCTAAAGACGCTTAGCTGTCTCTTGTTCGGCTGTTTATGGCTGTACGCATTTATGCAATGAGTATAGCGTTACTAATGATACTTTTATCATTCTCTTTGACTTTTTAAACTTATTTAACTAGAGGATGGGATAAAAAGATAGAGGAAAAGATGTTAGTCTATTGTAATTTGGTCTCTCAAAAAAGGAAATCACATGATACATGAAATACATTTTTATAAGTGAAAATTTGGGGTTTACACGAGTATATACGATAAATACAAATTTAACTAAATCTACACACGACGCACATCAATCAAAAAGTACAGCTGTATTTAAAATAAACATGATTTTGATACTTTACTTAACTGCATCCAATAATAAATGCATGTAATATTCACATATAAGTATCTTATAAAATACAAACATAGCGAATATGCGTCTTTTCCATTGTTTATGTTTATAAGATGTTTAGCTGTTTCTCGTTCGGTTGTTTATAGCTGTGTGCATTTATGCAACGAGTATAGCATTACTAATGATACTTTTTTAACTAGAAGATGACATAAAGAGATAGAGAAAAAAGTTAATATATTGTAATTTGGTCTCTCAAAAAAGGAACTCGTATGGTACATGACAATCATTATTTTTTTTTTATATAAGTAAAAATTTTGGGGTTGTGCAATATGGGAGATCATGTGTTATACAAGTATATACAATAAACAAAATTAGTAACCAAATCTGCGTCTCACAAACCTTTCTCTTAAACAATGTAAAAATAAGTCAGCAGATGATGTTATTTTATTTATGGTAACTGAATTTTTGGCAATTGCCTTACTGGGTTTTCATTGTTAAATAGTGTACGTCTGAAAAATGGCACTTTCACCGCAGTTGATATTTTCCAGGGTTGGAGAGGATTAAAAAATTTTAAGCCCAAACCACAGGAGACCTTCCCCCTCCGACTGTATCTCTCCTCCATTTCCCAGCAACTGAAGTAGTCCCAAAAGGGAAATTGCCATGAGAACATGGGCAATTTTTCTGCGTTATTGCCTGTAAATCCACTCTAAGCTTCAACCTGGTGTCACATTCGGTAGCGATGTGTGTGTGTATGCTGAAAAATAGGATCAATGCTTGGCCTTTTGGCTGGGATCAAAGTGTAGTATCTGCTGAGGTCAAATAAACTGTTTCATCTTTCAGTTGTCTTTCTGTCTGTGGAGAGAGTAACTAAAAATATTACTGAGAGGTGACTGGTCCCAGGAAATGGCAATCTACAGCAGTATCTCCCACATTGCACTAAAGAGGTGATATCAGTACTAACGTGGGAGCTGTGATATTTTTAACCTGCCCCATGTGCTTGGGCTCCCCACATTAAACTGACCTTGTGTCACATTCTGTCAGCAAGGGGTGGCCAGAAAATACAATCACTTCTCTGGGAAGTACTGCTACAAGATTGGAATTTTCAGGGCCATATTCCTCAAAGCTTTTTCCGGATCTGTCCAAAGAGGTAAACAATGCAGAGATTAAGAAGAGATACTAGGCTTTGATCTCACCCTGAAAATGAAGGAGCCTGTTCTTTGATTGTATTTATGGAACAGTCTATGTGCCTATATGTGTACATAGGGGCTAAAGACAAAAGCTGCACAGTCTTTATGACCACGGTCATGTTAGCAACATTATTAACCAACCTTCCCTCATAAATGCAGCAAGGGAGACACTGCTACAGAGTTGGAATCTCCAGAGCCAAGCTTCCTTTATTATTTAGAAATGAGACCAGATCCTAGACTTTGTTCTCGGTTTGTCTATATCGGTCACAACAAAATGTGTACCTGGTTTGCATAAAGACGACAACAAACCATTTTGCATGCTATACATGGCCGCTTTCCCCACCCACCACTGGGTGAATTTGCGAGCTTGAGAACTTTTCATTCCCCGCTTGTGTGCGCATTTGTGGAAAAGTCAGGAAGGGACTGTTACATATTGGGGTATTAACCTTACCTTCTCCCATTCGTAAATGTAGTTAAAAAAAAAAAAAAAATTCTCAGACATTTTGTATATGTTTAAGAAGGGCCTCCTCTTCCTTCCCTCTTCATTTTTCATGGCCGAGTTCTTGCAAAACAAACATGTTTCTCGTCTTTTCAAGACGTTTCTCTTTCCCTCTTATTTTTTTTTCTCCCTTCCACTCTTCTTGAAAAGGCTTTTAACATCTTTTCTTTTACCTTCTCACTTTGCTTTAACCTGTGAGGTTTCATCCCCCACCAACCCTTTTCTTCTAGTAAAAAAAAAAAAAATCCCATTATTTGTTTCCTACCAACAAATATAGTGAACTATTTTTCAAAGTTGTCCTTATATATAACACGTTTTATATATATATATATATATATGTAAATATTTTAAATAATTCCAAGAGGATAGAATCCAGGTAGAACTCAATGTCCAAGACAGAGTAAGGATATAATAAAAAGGCTTAAACACTAATATTCCATGGTCATAATTTATTACACTGGAATCGTGAAACGATCCAATTCATCAGACCTACAAATTTAAAAAGAAATCAGAAAAAAATAACTTGGGTATTATATATATATATATATATATATATATATATATATATATATATATATAATAAAAGGCTTAAACACTAATATTCCATGGTCATAATTTATTCCATTGGATACAAATATATATATATATATATATATCACTAATATTTATTTATATATATATATATATATATATATATGTGTGTGTGGATGTATAATGTATTGAATTAAAGTACTAAGCTCTGTTCCATCTTCAAGCGAAACTTTTTTTTGGGGAATTCAAATAATTATATTGAAGTTTTTGGCTCTTGTTTTGAAACATGAGGACTCTTATGTAGCGTGTTGGAATCATATTTTTAAATAAATAATATTTATGCTCTACTTTTGTATTGAGCACTATTTTTTAAAAATAATAACAAAAATACTAAAGAACTTTGGATTATTTACCTAACGAGTTCTTTACTATTTTCTATATATTTTTCACACATATATATATATATATATATATATATATATAGGCCAGTTAATGAAATTTGAGAAATAAAAGGGTAACAGAATGATAAAAATATTGGCAATAAGAGTGATGATAATACAGCCTTTTGAGGAAAACAAAGCACGAAGAGAAAGATTTTTAATTTGGGATTTTTCAGACATGCCTATGTCCTTTTTCAACAAGATAAAATAAAGAAAGAATTGGGACTCGCTCTTCTGCCAAATAATGTTGGGTTAAGTTTTATTGTTTTTTTAGTGGGAATGCGCGTTTGATTCTGACTTTAAAATCATTCTCTTCAATTTCGTCAAAAGACTATGCTCCTGAAAAATTTATTTCGGTTGAGCTCTCTGGGGAGGAAGATGTGGGTTTGTAAACAGTGACTATTACGGCTAATAATGCAAGCCTCTTCGGTAAATCGAATCGAGTTCTCTCGGTCACTGTGTGTTTATCTAAAAATAAATACGTTTAAATTCACTTTCATCCCTGCCGTGCGCCAACGGCTTAGTAGTAGAATCCCCGACTGACGCCAATTCCGTCGGGTTTCGATCGAGCTAGAGGCAACCGGACGTCTAGCCACTGTGGTACAGCAAAACGGTCTGTCTGTGGATGACATACGTATATATATATATATATATATATATATATATATATATATATATATATATATATATATATATATATATAAAATCATCAATCTTATTGGTAATATTTTTATCATTTTGTATTTTTTTTTTTCTTATTTCTCAAATTTCATTAACCGGCCTCTTAAATCCGCATATTATAAGAACACATTGAACCATCTTTTGTATTAATTGCATGTGTGTGTGTGTAATTTTTAAAAGGACTTTTTTTTGAGTCTGATATTAACCCTTTATTTTTAGTAGGTATGCAGGTTTCAGTTGATTATTGCTTTTAATTTAAACAGTGAAATTAAAACTATTAAAAATGAAGTTTAATTATTAAAACTAAGGCTATTAAAAAAAAAATATGTTAATGATTTGAGAAAAATGATTTTAGAAAATAAATTTTATAATCAAGTCTTTTGTTTAGTGTCTATAATCACTAATCTCCCAGAAATAACATGATCAACCGTTTATATTTTATTTTTTATTTTGTTATAAACGTTGCTATTACTATCAAGCCCCTTGATGAGTGGATGTAATCTTTGCAAAACTCAGCATAAGGACAAATAAGTGACTAATTTTATTTTTATTTATGTATATATAATATAAACGTACATCAGGTAGTTGCTGAAAAGTTTTCTTCCTCACAAACTGCACTTTCAAAAATCAGACCAGTGATATTTCAGGACACCCATATATATATATATATATATATATGTCATGCTGTATGTATGTTATGCTGTCACTGCTCTGTGTTAAGCATTGACCTCACTGTCAACTTCTCACTTGTGTGTGTGCACGTGCACACATATATATGAAAAGTGTGTGTGTATATATATATATGAAAAGTGTATATGTATATAAAATTATTTATATATCATATGCGCGGTACTTATT